GGCCTGGAAAACCCCAGCTGGACAGTCTTGATCAAAGTTCATTTAAAACGGGAGTAGGGTGACCAAGGGACTATCCAGCGATGGCCAACACAGGAAGATGGCTCAGAGCCCACAACCCCCGCCCCTGCACCCCGAGTCTCTCCTTTTCCCCCCTCCTCCCTTCTGTCCCCTGACCGTCCCCTCCGCCCACTGCATTAGAGCCCCTTCTAATTCCCCAGGGCCCCTCCGCCCTCTTTTGGAGTATATGTTCCTTCCTACTTGAATCCCTTCTTTACTTGGCACCAAACTGGTTTACGGCTTTCTGTCCCTGTCTGTATTTCCTAGGTGCTGTCCACTTCCATTCTATCTGTCGCCACACACACAGGAAGCCCACATCTCTGCCACAGTGAGCCAGGGGCTTTGCCTAGTGCCGTCAGCTGTGCCTGCCTCGATTTCCCCGCAGAGAACTTGCTTTTCCTTTCCCACCCAGAATATGATGGGGGCTTCGGCATCAGTTTGGAGAGTGGTCACCTCCTCCAGGAAGCCCACCCAGAGGCTTCAGCCCCCGCATCTTGGATGAGCCTGAGCTCCAGGCACTATTTAGTACAGGCTGTAGCAGCCAGCAAGGGTATGACTCTGGCCTGGTGGCCGAGCCAGGGGGTAGGAGGGATGTGTGGGTCCTAATGGCATTGCACCAGGCTGGCAGGGCCCCTTTTTTCTCCTACCTGCGTGTCAGCTGGGGACCTTAAGAGAACGGCCACATACCACATGCCACCCCACTCCTCCCCTGGGGCAAGCACCCCTCAGACCACGTTGAGTCTGCCTGGGGAGAGCTCCGTGTCCCCTGGGGTGACAGGGACTCACACTAACAAGGGCTGCTTGCTGCAAGCAGGGGCCAGACCTAGACAAGCTGAGAGCTAAACAGTCACACTTTACCCGGAACAGCTCCTTCAGTCTCTTGGGGAAAAGTTTCAGGCATTCTTCAGCAGTTATAAAGTGGTTGTTCAAGTAATTTTTTGAAGAAATCGGAGTCTGGGGTGGCGTTGCAGCCGGCCCACTTGTTTTAGTGTCTGAAACAGTGGCATAAATCACAAGACGTCCATTAGCGCTGTGTCTGCCTCTTTATCTCTACTCCAAAGCTTTCTTTCCTCCCCGGACCGTATTAAATGCTCTCGGCCAGGGTGAACGCGGCATCGAGTGTGCTGTGCACGACCAGCCTGCTTTCTGTCCCAGGTCTTAGAAATGCTCCTTCTATTACAAGTGGCATTTGTTCCCAGGCTACCGGGACATGCGGCCTGGGTGTCCTGGAGTCTACACTTGCCTGGAGTCTCTGTTTTTCCTCGAAAGCCAGAACCCTGTCTTGCTCATCCACCTCCTGGCTCCCAGAGAGGATTCCACCCTCCTCTTGGTCCCTAGAATCATGTCCTGAGGACAGCAGGGTGCTTCATCCCCACTCGTCAACAGGTATTTCCTGGGCATGTGTCTGCTCCCTGCCACGCTGGGGGATCCACGTGGTCCTTAGTTCTTTAATGACCCAAACAAGCAGCAATCTTAAACATGCCTTGTCTAAGCATCAGACAACATGTCGTGTGTTCTGTGCAGAGCAGAAGGTGGGGTGCGCAGGTCCCCCCAGCTCTGCAGTCAGCACAGCTGAATCCAGGCATGGCCTGCCGGGTCCTCTGCTCATCCACGGCATCCTACTTCTGCCTCCCTTAACATGGGGGTGGCCTCCACCTGAAACCCAGCAGCGCCCCTCTGGCCAGGGCATCAGAGCATGGCCTTGCCCACGGCAGACTGGACCCTGGTACGTGGTCATGGATGCCATGCTGGGTGTGGTCTGCAGGAGATGGGGCGGGGTGCTTGAAGGTTGCTGCGTCGTCTGGTCCAGGTTTAAGCTCGGCCTCTGGTGCACCCCCACCCCAGAGCAGGGCCTGGGCACCATGTGCAGACACCCTGAGCCCTCAGTGGTGCCCACCACTGACCCCAGCAGGGTTTCCCCAGCTGGCTCTCCCTCCCTGCAGGCTCTGGCAGTTGGGGGCTGATACAGCCAGGCTGCTGGGAGGAGTGGGGGGTCAAGTGGGTGGGGCAAGAGCAGAGCAGGGAGCCTCGGCAGCCTAGGCCTGAGGGGGGTGTTCACCCCACATACCCTGAGCCCCATTGCTCCCCAGAAAGGAGGCACAGGGCAGAACACACGGGGGAGGTGTGCACCGCCCTGCTTCCTCTCCCTCCTTATGTGGCCCTTCACGGGTGTGCACCACATACCCAGAGAAGCCAGGCTCCCAAAGGCCGCTCGACCAGCCCGTTGCCAACAGGGTGCAGCTGCCCTCCGGCTTGTCAGACCCCAAGGTGGTAGGGCTGTGTGGGGCCCAGGCACTGAACAGGCCGGGTCTCTGAAGGAGCCGTGGTCACCTCCCACAGCCAAGGCCACTGGGGCCGGCAGCCATCCTGCGGGGCACCCACAGCAGAGAGGAGGCCCAGCCTGGACCGCAGCTGTGAATTCCCGGGGTTCCCGGGCTTTGTGTCCAGATCCTGCCCTGCCCCCACAGCAAGGATGGGCTTCCTGGTTTCCTCACCGCTTTGGGGCCTGTAGGGACCATGGCTAGGGGATCTCTTAGATAAATCTCCAGGTCCCCATCTGTCAATAGGGAGGCCTGCCACTCGCCTGGCCTGTGGGTGTCACTAATGCAAGGTAGCCAGAATCTTTCTGTGGAGAAAACCTTAGGGCATTGGGTGTGATTGAGAAAACAGGCTTTGGGGTCAATCTAGGACCAGGTGCACTCCAGGTGAGTGAAGGACCACCCAGGCCAGCTCCACGTTTCCTGCCAAAATGCCCATTCCCGGCCCCAGAACACACACTGGCTGGACAGCAGGGGCAGTGCCCTCGACCTCAGCTGCCTGCTGGCACTGGCAGGATGGGTTCAGGGTGTGCGCAGCTGCCTGTACCTTCGAATCTCTCTACGAAGTCCAGGTAGCTCATTCCCTCCTTCTTATAGCCAATTTTCGTAGCCAGGAGCAAGTACTGGGTCTCATCCATGGGCATCCTGCTGTCTTCTAGTACCTGGCAGGGAAGAGGGGGTGGCAGAGAGCAGTTAGGTTGGTGCCAGCACCCCTACTCCGCTGAGCTCCTCCTTCCCGGGACTTTTACTGGTTTGTCCCCACCCTCAGGCCTGTATTTGTTGACTGCATGGGTGAACAAAGAAAGGAGCCAGCATCACCTGCCCACGTGAGTCGGCGTGGCACATGGGCACACAGGAGCTCTGTGTGGCACCAGGCCCACGCGGCTCTGCGTGACACCAGGATTGGTAGAGCCCCATGCACCTGGGCCCTGCGTTCACAGCAATTCAGCAGAGTGCTGGGGGGCCCTGCCGCCCATTCACCCCCATTTACAGCTGCTGTCACTGCAATCTGCGTTCACATGGAGGAAATAGACACAGTAAGGCAGGACAGTTTGAGGAGGGAACACATGATTTTCATCGTGACCAGTGGCCGCAGTGGGAACCCTGTGGCTGTTTGACAAAGGGCGGTCCACAGCACCTTCCTCCCTCCCCCTAGCTGGTCCCCCTGCTGGTCCCATTTCCCGACAGGGCCTGAATGGGACTTAGGCAGGCTTGTGTGATGGGAACCCTGGGCCATCTTTGCCACCTGCATGTAGCCTCAGGCCTCAAACCACGTACTGCCAGAGAGCTGGGCCCTATGACAGCACCCAGAGACCGCTGCTCTGCAGCCCATAGACAGCTTGGTTGCTCGCTTTAAAAAATAACTTGATGTTTTGAAAACAATTGCACATGAATTATTCATGGCAAATTTCTCCTGCTTAGTCCTTTCACAAAAACATATGTAATGGAAAGAGGGAGAATGTCTGTAGGCAAATGTTTCCCAGCCTGGAGGGCTGTGAGCGTGGGAAGAGGAACAGGCCTCAGGTGGCCGTCCCTGTGCTGGCCCAAGGGGCAGGTGCACAGCACATTGTCAGGGCTTTCCAGGCTGCCCACAGACAGGGACATGGCCC